AGATGACATGACCTAACGGCCTGCTGACCCATAACGATTACCTGGGGTATTTTCATCACCGTGAAAAGAAAAATGAGGGCGAAAAGCGAGTAGGTAAGCAGCATAACGCCTTTTTCCAAAGTATCATTATAAAGACTTGTTTCAAGCGGCTGGCATGCCTACCAACATAGGTGGGCACGATCCGTTCCTCCGTTCCTCCGTTCCGGAACGCCGTTACAATTTTTAGGAACGGAGGAACGGACTCGTTACATTTTAAAAAGGGTAACGGACCAAGTAACTTCCGTTACATTGGTTGTTCGTTCCTCCGTTACAAGTTAACAGTTTAGTCCGTTCCTTCGTTCCTCCGTTACTTTTCGTTGTCCGAGCGGGTTGATCTTTCAGCTAACCCACAGACATTAATGCAGCAGCGGAATAGTGGATTATTGAGCAGCCCTGACTTGAAGACGGAAGTGGCCTCAGTGTACAGTGTACTGGCCTTCCGCAATGAGCCGGCGTTGCAGTATGTGTTCGCAAAGTTCAACACGGGCGTCCCTTCACCCTATTAGTGGCAGGGGGGGGGGGGTTGTTTTTATCCACCCCTCAGGTTTTTCGGGAATATCTCCGAAACCGCTGAAGCTACGATGCTGAAATTTTCTGACTTTTCCTAAAACTAAATTGGGCACATTCCCTGAAAATTTCAAGTTCATAACTTTACCAGGGGCGGCTCCAGAGCACTGGGAATTGGGGGGTCCTATTCGTGAAGCGAGTCATTTGGGCGAAGATCACGATGCTGCACCAGTTTTACGAACAGTGAATGAAAGGTATCATGTGATAACATATACAAAGTTATTGTGCATCCTCTTTTGACACGTTTTTGCTATAATAGGCGGATCCAGGCGTCCAAAAAGGGGGGTTATATTTTACCTCCCAACATAGGTGCCCTGACACCGCCTATGCATGACCAATACAATTTTAGTCGTTCTCTCATAAGAAAATTGTAACATAACAAGACCATTGCCACCCTTTTTAGAAACAGTACCAACAAAAACCTTATTTACTATACTTTTTGTGTACCCCCAATCTCAATGATCTGTATCCGCCTATGATTTTTGAAAATGCATATTTTTAGGATCCATGTAAATTCCTGGTTCATTCTCTATCGATCGGCAAAAGTTGCGTTAAGATTGGTTCAGAAACCTGGCCGTGATAAACAGTCTAAAATGTATCTGCAATTTGCCCGTTTTTACCCCCCTCTACCCCCCTATTGACATTTTTTAATTTCATTTTTTTTAGAAATGTAGATCTCGTTGAGTCAAATCGAATGCCGTTTGAATTTTGAAAATCGGCCGGTTAGATCTCGAGATATCAAGGGGGGTCGTAAACAGCCCCCCCCCCTGCCACTAATATGGGGTAGCCAGGAGCCTGCCACTAATAGGGTTCAAGCGCCTCAGTAGAGCGCATGTTCTCAATGGGAAAAGATGTGCTACGTGCAAAAAGGGCTACCCTCTCAGAAAGTGGCAGCGGAACATCTTCAATTAAAGGGACTATCCCACCTTTAACATGGGGTTTGAGTTGAGATAGCCAAGTTTGCGGCGAGGTTCAGAAACCACTATCTATCTAGGTTGCAACCCCCGCGGCCTCTTGGTGTTGAAGAAATTCGTTCCCTTCATTTGAAAATGGGCCTTGTACAAGGCCCTATCTTCAACATGGAGCGACCGTTAGTGTGACGTCACCTCGTTTAGTCATTCTGATTTAAATGGGTTTGTTCGTTGAAAAATCGCTTAAAGGGACCCTCCCACCTTAACATTAGATTTGAGTTGAGATAGCCAAAATGGGGTCCCTGGCTCACAATTACCGGTTTCGGCACTCACAACATCGAGAAATGCCTTAAATCGGAAATATTGAATTTCAAAATTGCAGCATTTTGATTCAGAGGGGCTAATGCTTAGGAATACCCCTCTGAATGTGTGACGTCAGCGCAAATATCTAACGATTTTTAAATGTTTGACTAAAACGTTTTGTAGCACGCGGTGGTATATGCTATTTGCGCGCAACATCTGCCGCAAACGCCGCACTTCTAAAATAAAGTCGCTAGAAACAGCGGAGATCCCAAAAAAGTAAACAAAAGTAAAAGTCTAATAACTTGAAAACCGGTGAATATTTTTCGGTGAAATTTAGTAGATATTCGTTTTCGCTCTTTCTGAACCGAGCGACATCACTTTCATGCCAATTCATAAACTTTTTTGAAGGTGGGAGGGTCCCTTTAAAACTTGGTCTGAACTTTGTTGTGGTGCCTACAGAGTAAAAAGAATCAGCTTTATGACAGTAATGTGGCCTGGGGAAGGAGGTAATTTTGGGCTGTGACGTCACATATTTGAAAGTTTGTGTTTGGAAGATGGGAAGCCTAAGATGTTTAATGAAAAATAAATGCCAGAACCGTGTTCCTGGTCATCCAATCTATAAAGTCGGGCACAATTTAACTGGTTTTAACAACATTTTAGAAGGTGGGATAGTCCCTTTA